GGAAAGGGTGTAACGGGGTTACACGTACCCAGATAACAGGGGTGTGTGTCACACGAGATGGGCATGGTGTGACTGCACCTAATTACGAATACGGCACGTGGCTGGGTAGCCAGTAGTTATGCATGTATTTATATATATTTAGGAAAATCTATACATTTAAATATGACGGCTTTGCCGCAGATAAAAATAAATAACAAAATAAAACATACTGTTTACATTTTAAACAGAAGAATTTATTAGCCTTGGGTTAAGGTTCTAACTACTTTTGGAGGTAGCGGATTGCGATCCGCTACACTCGGACTGGTCCTTGTGAAGAACGTAAGGTCCGTGACCTTAATTAAGCTTCCTCTAAGCGCAAAGCTATGGCAGCCCCGCTGCATGTAAGATCACCGACCTTACCTTCTTATTAAGAACCAGTACGAGTGTAGCAGTTTGCAAATCGCTACCTTTAAAAACTTAACCAAGGTAGAGACGCTCTTTTGTTCAAAATTGAAACTGTATTTATTTGTTTAAGCTGCGGCAGAGCCGCTTATATCTAAATCCTTTGGCGTTATTAGTTTAAATAATTAATATGCATGCATACTGGCAATCCTGCAGAACAATTCTTTCACTTCACCAGGTATTGACAACAGCTCTGGTACACGTTAAAGTGTTGCCATAGTTGCTCGTTGAGCAGTGTCAACTCCGCTCGATCCTCCCGTGAATAATTCGCGTCTTCAGCGTCACTCACTTTACCCATGACGTCCACGAAGATTAGATTACTGAGTTTACACGGAAGTGTAATCGACAAGTCGTTTGAAACCGACAGTACTTCCACAACTAAAATTACAGCGATTTTGTGGCGATGCCAAAGGCTCTTTGGGATTCTGTAGTCCATTATACACATGAATGAGACAAAGCCTGTAGGGCATGTGCTGCGCTATATAACGCGAATTTAACGAGTGAGGCGACTCGCTCCAACACCGCGGTCCCTCTACACAACTGCTTTAGAGGATCTCCGCCATTCATTGTTTCACGCGTTCAGCTTGGCTGTATTCTCACTGATCACACTTTTTTTGCTTTTGACCTACAGGGGTCGGTAACGCTGCCGAAGCTGTCTGATGCGCCAGCAACGTTCAATAGTTCGGCGACAAGGCTGTTCAAATCATATCGCGAGAGTACACACGTCTATTTCGACGATGTACTCGTTCACAGTCGTGCGGGTGTCGATTGTGCATAACCTCATTAAAAACCTGTGAACAGCACTCGAATGTATACTATTGATTAAGCTGTTCGTCAATATAGATAATTGTGTCTTCGACGCGGAAAATTTCCAAGTTTTAGGTTAATTCATTCGGGAGCAAGGCCTGCAGGTCGATCCTGCAGAATGAAGGGCCATCGTAAATTGGTTTGTGCCTCTGTTTCAAACAAAACTAAGGAAATGGCTTGGCCTGACCAAATACTTGCAAAAAAACAGTGCAAACTATGTCGACAGGGTACACCTCGTCACCAATCGCTTGAAAAGGATATTTAATGGTTTATTGGTGTGCCACAAGAAGCGGCTTCATAGGTTATATGGATACGCTACGTACTTGTCCTGATTCTGTCTATTCATATTCAAATTGCCAATTCGTGTTGTTTGTGACTCTTCAGCCTTCGCCTTAAGTTATACTCTACTCATGGCGGATGTAATCGGCATGATCGCGCGATCACATTGATATCCTGTCCCGTCCTTTTCAAGTTCAGGGCGTCTATAGCACTTCTGCTTTGCTCTTTGTTTATCGTTGTGCACCGCGACGTCGTCACCACATATACCGCAGCGGTGATCATTCTCCCTCGCCATGTATACCTCTGAAGTAAGGTAGATATTAACGTAGCAGCAGGTGCGATTACACACCGCCCCGGCTATATACTGTCGCATTCCAAAATGTTGATGTAGGTACTTGATAGGGCGATCGGTACAGCGTACGGATCAGATGCAAGATGAGCTGCGTTGCTGAAAGCTTTGGGAAGTAACGATTGATGAGCTCAGATGTCACTTTACCAAAGCATGTGGGGGTGATGTCGTATACCCGCGACTAACCAGACTGGTCGGCATTGGGCGATGGTTCGAAGATCCTTGACGCGCCTTGCGCTGGAGGCAACCGTTTCGAAGATGACGGGTGTCTCCACAGACAAAACACCGTCGTGTGTTTGTGTGCTGCTCGCAGCTCGGAGCTCTGCTCCCTCGTCCTCAGCATAGCTGAGATCCATGGGCACAGGCCCGCTAGACGAGCTGTTGGGGTGTGCATTCCAACCAAGTCGTCCCGACTGAGATTGAATTCGGCATTCAATGCCACATTTACCGCCTCTTTAAATTAAGATGGATGCACACGGAAGACTTCCATTCTGGCCACGCCAGTGCTGAGGCCTTCCATGAAGACGGTCACCGTGACCGCCTCAGGAAGGGGATCTGCTCCCATCCCGGCAATGAGAGTACGCATCTCTTGGACAAAGTCCACCAATTCCTTGTTGCC